TTTTCTGAACCTTATTCCACATGCAAGTTTTATTATAATGTTTTCCTGTACCGTTAGCGAAAAGTTGCTATTAAAATTCACAAATGTACGTAAGTTATTAAAGTCTTAGGTACATCAATCAATAGCCTTTTTTTTGGCGGGGGGGGGACCGGTTTGTCTGTTCGGCACTCTTACCACAAACGAATTGAAATTTAGGTCATGGCGGGACTCCAACCGCTCGAATTTGTATTTGGCTTTAGTCGCGATAGGTACAGCAGCGTCGTCGGTGTTGCCGAATGGAGCAAAAAGTTCAAACCTGTCGGTGCTGTGCCACACAAATTACGGCTGGTGGGCTTCCTCTTCCACTTCACCACCTTTGTGAAGCGGTCCACGTCACATTGATTCGTCTGCCTCTGTGGTTTTACAACTTCGGAGACACGCACGCGGGAATTACTTTTACTCTTAGCGATTGCTGCTTCTCGAGTTTCGAAGTGGCGGCAATCGGCTGTTTATTTATTACATAAAATCACACAGCATTACAGCAAACACCACTATGACAAATACATACATAGACACATGATACAGACATTAACTTAGATGGAACATAGTAATATATTCTACTAATCTCTCTCTTGGAAGCCAAGGCAATGAACAGGCGCTGACTCAGCATAAATGACGCGGCTGCCCGCGACCCTGGTATTCTGCCAGAACCCTATATAGGACAGGGACGCCACTCGCAAAAACCCAAAACAAAACCATTTTAATTCAATTAAAATTCTAACCAATTCAATTCAGTCCAATTCAATTTAATTTAATTCAATCTATTTAATTTAATCCAATTTATTTATTTCTTCTTTCTTAAACACTTTAACCACTCAGATTTCCACTTTCTGCATATGTAAAAGATACTCTTGCAGCATCTGCTTGAAAGTTCTTTTTGTGACGCTATTATGAATAGGGGGATTAATATTGTTCCAACAATGAGTGACTAAGTACCGGAAACTCCCTCTAATTGCAGTATGCCGGGGGGTTACAAACAGAAACACCCTTGTCGACCTTGCTCCAAAGCAAGAGTTTACCGTCGATGACCAAGTGACTGTCTCATACAAATAATAAGGTACGTGAGACTGAACAACATCAAACAACAATCCAGCCAGATGCAATTTAAGGCGCCCCCCCATCGCAAGCATGTCAGACTTATTTAGAAAAGGTGTCACGTGACTCCGAAATAGACAATTTATATTAATAATTCACAGAAGACAGTTTATCCATCCTCTGACAAAACCTCAAACATTCATCACACACAGCCACCCATCCACTTGCAAAAACATCACAGTCTGGTGCATATACAAGAAGGGCATTAAAACAGCGCAGAGCGCGAAAAAGCAGTGATTTACTGTGAGACATAGTGCGCTCCGCCGGCATTGCCAGCTGATGGTGAACGCGTGGCCGTTAATTAATATTATTTAGCGGGGTACGAACAGGCGCACCAGTAACGCCACCATTTCTGGGCAATCGGAATCTCCTCGCAAGACGCTACCAGCAAAAGTCAGTAGGCCATAATTGCGTCTTAATTCTAAAGAATTTAACCCCAAGACGCCAAGGAGAAATTTCGGAGGGCATAAAAATGGGCAGTACCCATTGACTTACAATTATATGGACGTCGGGTCCGCGCTAAAAAGTGTCCGAACTTATAGGGCGTTAAAATCGTATACAGAGCGTCATTCACACTTTAGTCTTCGTTTGTTCGATTGACAGCGAAGCAAGCAAAATTAGACAGTACTGCGGTGACATTACAATTTAAATTCAACGTTTTAGCTTTTTCATATTCCTTTACATGTCACTACGTTTAAATAGGTTGACTTGGGACATGTTTTTCGTGGTTTTTTTATTAGACCCGTCGTCCATTTATTTGTAAGTCAATGGTAGTACCCATATATTTTCTTATATATATTCTTCCCTCCGCATGACATGTCCATGCCACGCTAACCTATTACTCTCCATCTTTTCCGTCACTGGCGCCATATTCAAACTTCCCCTGATGTACTCATTCCTTATATTTTCTCGTCATTCCACACATCCATCTCAACATTCGTATTTCCGCTGCGTGCACAGTTTTATCGTTTTCTATCGCTTTTTATCGTGAAACATTCTGATCCATACAATGTGACAGGTCTACGACGATCTTATATATTTAGTATATTTTCCCCTTAAACTAATATACATATTGCAACCTTTTTTTGGCGTTCCTCTGAATAACTCCACGACTATATCCACTTAGTAACTATATGTAATTACATGATTACAAAAAACCGCGGTTCGGTCCAGGAGTTCACCCCGAAGTTCAAATGAACCGTCCCTAATATTTGACTCGGAAACCTTTGTTCTTTAGTAAGTCTTTATTGTTTGCCTAATCGGTCGCTGCTCTCTTGTTTTATTCGGGTCAGCTCGGCATTTTCTCGGCCGCATTTGGTTGTTAAGTACAATGCGACAAAACGTACAACAAACACATTTTGCGGCCCGTTTGCTTTTGGTAATCTGGTAAAAAACAGACAGTTGCAAAATGTTAACGCCGTTTACACACATTTTTAACTAATTTCGCACCCTTATTGTAAATAGGGCTACATCTGCAAAATGACAATTTTTCAGGAGAGAATCTAAATTCAAATAATTATTTATTCCATAGGTAAAATTTTTACACATGAAACATTGACTTACAATTATATGGACGTCGGGTCCGCTCTAAAAAGTGTCCGAACTTATAGGGCGTTAAAATCGTATACAGAGCGTCATTCACGCTTTAGTCTTCGTTTGTTCGACTGACAGCGAAGCAAGCAAAATTAGACAGTATTGCGATGACATTACAATTTAAATTCAACGTTTTAGCTTTTTCATATTCCTTTACATGTTTAAATAGGTTGACTTGGGACATTTTTCTCGTGGTTTTTGTATTAGACCCGTCGTCCATTTATTTGTAAGTCAATGACTTGAAAACATAATTTTTTTAGGCTACTACTCGTTCACTGCGCTGACCTCCCTGAGAAGAACGAGCAAGAAACTCTAGAGATTGCTCTTTTCAAATAAACTTAAATGCTATAAATAAATAATAATAATAGGTAATGTAGACTTATGTTGTCTTTTCATACATCTTTATCTTGAATTTTGTACTATGACTTTTCAATTAAAATACTTTTAATGTACGTTTTGCTCCGGAATCGTATTGTAGAAAATACTCGTTTACCTTAGTTAAACGAAATCGTGGTTACCTGAGTTTGAACTTAGTTCTTTAAGATCATGGATATCTTCTTTCTTTATGAAATTATGTATATTTTTACGCCCATACAAAATATTTCAGTAAATACTGTTATGCCACGGCCATGACACCAGTCTGCTTAAACTTTCCTGTGAGAAAAAATCCGAGAATCTAAACGGTACACAGAACGAATCGCTCGTTTTTGCAACATAAATATGGTTTGTATATCTGCTTAAACATTTTAAGAACTTCTTCTTCGTGTGCCATCTCCTAATGGGAATCTGAACCTTGTACACTGCAGCTCTGAATAACGATCGGGTGTTTTTTTTTAATAACAAACAAGTGACGGTACGTGCACCTGATGGTAGGCAACACGCCTGTCCATAAGACTCAGAGCACAAAGATCTGAGGGGCACTGCACTGCGCCCGACACCCTGAGACATAAGTTGACAAGTCCCATGTGCCTATAATTTCACCCTTATCCGCCAAAACCGGAACGCAGTATTGTTCACATTACTGCCTGGCGGCACAAACAGGTACGGTGGTAGTATTTCCCTTGCCAAACTCTTTCACAAGGAGCATTAATGCTACTGGGTTAGATCGAAACATTTTTGCCTAATTGACCGCTCCAATCGTTTTGTCTTTGACCACGTAGTCGGTCTTTTCTCCATGTAAGCAACATGTTTTTGTTTATACTAGTTTTTTATAAAGTTTAAATATTTAGAGGCTCGGAAGGTGTTTTGGGGCCGCATTTTTTGATGGAATAGTTTTCAGATAAGATAAATGACATTTTCACCTCACTAGCTCGGAAAGACTTTCTTTCTCATTAGAAATCTGTGCGCAAAAGCGTTTTTTGCACGCTAGCGTGGAATAGGTTTTTGGAATTCGAACTTGATGATGGACTGTGGTGCACCTAACTTTTTCTTTCGATGAAAAAAATAGGAAAATGGCACGTTAAATTAAGCAATTTGTCGTAAATTACTTATTTATGTAACATAAATGCGTTGGTATATTTTATTCTTAATATTGTTGACATTAAATTGACAATGATAACTAATTGTTTTTATTAAATCATTTTAATTCGCCGAAGAACTAAAATAATTTCAATAATCACTTAATCATAGAAAATAAAAGTACAAGCAAGAATAAAAATTGATGAGGTGTAAATTCAGAACGCATCCGAAGATAAACTTTTTCTTTTCATTAAAAAAGGTTTTGTAGTTCAACTGTTTTTCTTTCATCTACCATTTCCCTCGCTATAGTGAGGTGAAAAGTTGTGTGTTTCGGTCGGCAGCAAAATTGTTTTGAAACCCTCGCTACGCTCAGGAATCTATATTTGAACCTAACCTAACCAATCTTAGCTTCCTTCGCTTGTTCAGGTTTCAATACAAACACTAGCGGCAAACAACAACCTTGCAGCCTTGCATAACAAATAATTATTATAGCGGATGATTCTCGTCAGCAGCGACATTTTCTCACTGTCGAAATAATATCGCGCCCTCAACGTCTAAAGAAAATGTTACTAAATATAATATATACAAAATTTTCTGTGTCCATAAAAATTATCACTTGAAATCTCTATTGACAAACATTCCGTTTTTGTGTATTGTATTAAAAACGTAATCGATTAAGATCTTTCAAAATAAAATCAAACATTGTTAAAAATTTGCTTGAAATAATTTCTTGTGTCATTTATCAAAATAATGTCTTTCCGGAAATGAATGTTACGAGAGAAACAAACCTCATTATTTAACCTTTTTTTCTTACGATATATATAACGAGATCCAAAATGGTTTTCATTCTGAATTTGTCCCGTTGTGCAGGCAAAAGAAAACGTCGCTGATTCTGTGGCGAACGAGGAACAGAGCGGACGCCACCGACAATCAGCATCAAAATATAATATAAAACAAAATAAAAATTTACGTCCACATTTTGCCGCACACAAGAAAACTTTACTGCCTTCGACCACTCTGGTGTCGAAAGATGAAGGCCGATTTGGGATTCCGAAAATATCAAAACTGCTTACGGTCGACATTTATGGCATTTCTTCGACATTTCTCTATCGAAAGTGTTTCCGTTATTCTAATGGTATTATTAAAGAGTTTCAAATCCCGAATCAGGAATCTTTGCTTCCCTTACAATCTTATGTTGCTTAAATCTTTTTCAGACGCGTACAGCATTACAGAATAAATTATCATAGTTTATATGTACCTAATATAATAAATATTTGAAGGCAACATATTATAATACCGGAGGTTGCAGTCGTAAATCGTAACTTTATTACGCTTGTGTTTTTACTATATTCCGCTCAAACCAATTTATAAATATTATTTTACTTCATTCCACATAAAGCCATGCTTGGAGTCAAGTTTTGCATCTCTATGTTAATTTTAACAATGCTCCTATTTAGTCCTTCAGGCAAGTACTGCTTATCTACTTAAACATTGTCATCAATTTGGATAAATATATGTATATATATATATATATATATTAGAATAATAACGCATAGAAACCTAGTCCGCACACGCTAAGTGAGGCAAATTGAAGCGCGCCCAATGGGCCTACACGAGCGGGCGGGCCTTCAGTGCTCAAGGTCAACTTGCACCGCGAACAGATCAAGAATTTTAGCTAAAAATGACGAAACGTGCGGTAAATGAGTGTAAAAATACGTCAGACAAACATAAAATAGATAGTAACATCACATTCCACAAGGAAGTAACGCGTTTCAACTTGTATTTTTATATAAATATTCACTAAAACCGAAAATTAACCTACTACTAAAACTAGCCTATATGAATTTGATTTTTGCCTCACTTGTGACAGTTCGTTTGATATGAAACTATCATTCTATGCGTTATTATTCT